TTTCAGAAGAGCCCTGGGGTTTTCTCCGTCGAATTGTTTCAAACCTGTATGACTTTCTGATGTGGAACAAAAAATAAAAAAAATCTTTTAAAAAATTACATTACATTTTGAAAAATGCCTGTTTTTTGGTCCACACAATGAAAGTCAATGGGGTCCAATAATTATGTATAAACCTTTTCATCCACGATCGACTGACTGGTTCTAAGGCTTTTAAGATCACAGGTGGCTCAGTGTTGGTAATGCCACTCTCTCTCACGGACTAATGATGCATGACACATGGTACAAGTATGGCTCATTGCCCAGCACTGAAACCGCTGTTTGCCATAGTTTAAAGTTAGCTGCTGAAATAATGATACTGTTGCGTTTCCCTTAAAAAAAAATAATAAAAAAAACCAAACAAAAAAAAAAACAGATAAAGTGAAACTTGCTTTTAGCAATGCAACTACACAGTTGCTTGATTTTGTGCCAGAACTATATGCATCAAAATAATTGTTTTTTTCTAAAGACAGCTAAACCAACAGCATTTACATTGCATTAATGCATCTGACACTCATCCAAATTTATGTACACTGCACTCGAACATTTTTACACTTCATGTATTCCCTGGCAACCAATCTCATGACCTTGGTGTTGCTATCGCCATACTCTTCTGAGCTGCAGAGATGAAGAAAATCCAAGTTTCTCAAAGTGACTGACACTATTGACACACTATAGAGGGGTCCGACCCCTTCCGTCCCTCGAGAAAATCTTAATTAGATCCAAGGAGTCTAAGGATTGTCTGTTATTTTCCACACTGTCTCCATTTTCCTTCTAGCTATCAGCCGGTCGGTCGCTGTAATTCCACACTGAAATGCCACCAGACGATATGCTATCCACAATATGCTTAGTTTACTTAGGAAGTGCTGAAACAGGTATTCTGCAGCTAATGCGGTGTGGAAAGGTCCTCTGGGATTGGAAACTCATTTTCTGTTTATTTTTCAGCACCTTTGGAGCATTTCAGGAACAATTAGTTAACACAAAATGGCTTTTGCAACCATTTTACTGCTGTAACGTGATGCATTATCTACCACGATTTGCTTTTATTGCAGCAATCTTAAACAATGTTAATTACAGCATTGAATATTGGCAAGACTTTAGAAAGTTTGCATTACCTACAACCATGACTTAACAGCTTGGCTATTGGTTCAAATGATTTTGCCTTAGTTCCCAGAAAAAAACATTTTCCCCAGAAAAATAAAAATATTATTTATTCTAGTAAAACATATATTCTATTTTCACTCATAGATTTAAGTTTCTCTTCAGGTTCAGGTAAAAGTAACTTTCCTCAACACTGTGTATATATGAGGATCGTCACATTTGTGTGGTCCATGGTATCAAAAAGTTAGAAAGTTTCAGTGCAAACTACAAACTGTTCAAAGGGCTTTAAAAGATTCCAGATGATGAATAAGGGTCTTATCAAGCGAAACGATCTCTCATTTTAAAAAAATAACAACAAATTTTAAGTTTTATAAGCTCAAATGCTCGCCTTGCTCTGTTCTGTGATGTGTGTTCGTGACTCTCCTGTTCGAACTTGTTCATCAAAATGAACAAATCTTTTTTCATGTCATTTGGTTCATTCAACAAACAAAATGAACGAATAGACTCGGGAAAAGATTCGTTCATTTTTCACTGAAACTATCTTTTAGACCTTGAACCGTTTGGTTCCCAGTAATTGCATTATATGGAGAAAAATCCTGGAATGTTTTCATCAAAAACCTTAATTTTTTTTCGACTGAAGAAAGTAGGACATGGACATCTTGGATGACATGGGGGTGAGTAAATTATCAGCAAAAGTTTTTTTAAAAGTGAACTACTCCTTTAAAAAAGGAAAATTGTTTGAGAAGCGGAGCGAGTATACTGTAAGTAAACAATCATTTTCCAAATCTTTATAATAGCATTTAACGCTAAATCATTGTTAATAAGACCTCAAATGTGTATTACGAAAGTAAAGAGGGTCAATTTTAATTTCATGTTGACTTTAAAGCTTAAAGCACACTTGTCACGTTTCAGAACAAGCATTTGGCACCGTGCGTCACGTTTGTCATTCATTGCGTTAGACAGCCCACAATTGCTCTTAGTCACCATTAATAATAGCTAACAAATGCTCACTGGGTTCATTTGTGCTTTTTAACTTAGACTGTGTGTACGGAGAACGGGGCCCACACACACCGAGGATTCACTTGAGCCCTCCCACGCACTCTCTATATGCTGTCAGGAGCGGAGATTGTGTGAGTGGAGCTCCCATGTGGCTTCACATTTCATTTACAAGGATCTTGCCTCTATTTTTCTGCATGTCATTTGGGCTCTTCTGGCGAGCACAGGTGCTCAGACACAGAAAATTATGAAGTTATATTAAAAATACAACTCATAATACTGCCTAATGTCAATATATAATATCTGTATATATAATATTGATGTACCCATCACCCACATACCTCATAATATCACAGTCTCTTTGTCCTCATGATGTCTTTGGCCACTCCTCTACTCTCATTTCATCCGGCAGCACGAGGCCTTTGATGGTGGCGAGGGGCCGGCGGTGGAACCCAGGGGAGTGGCGGTCAAACTCACAGCCCATGTTTCTCCGTTCAGTAATCCACAGGCTGAACACGGGGGTCTGTTAATAATAGATCACACAAGTCTAGAATGAGAGCCACATATGGAACTGAGGGGGTTCTGAGATGCATAAACAGCCATGGCAAATATAAGTTAAATAAACTGAAATACACAAGTTTTTTTTATCAAAATACAAGTAATAATATATATATATATATATATATATGAAGAGTTCAGATGCAAAAGCCTCTAAGTGCCATTTGAAATTTTCTTCTAAAATGATCATTTTTATCAAGCTTGTATATTTAAGTTCAGTAATTTTACTTAAATGGCAATGAAGATTACCTATTAATTGTCATTTAAGTGAAATTACTGAACTTAAATATACAAGCTTGATAAAAATGGTCATTTTAGAAGAAAATTTCAAATGGCACTTAGAGGCTTTTGCATCTGAACTCTTCATATATATATATATATTCAGGGCCTGAAATTAACTTTTTCGGCCACCGGCCACTGTGGCAGGTGGATTTAAAAATTCAACTGCCACAGAGACTTTTTACCAGCCACTTTTTTTTTTGCCTCATATTTTGCCTCAGCCAAAAAATGGTAAAAAAAGAACAATATTGTGAAATTTCTTTTTTTTTTTTTTTTTTTTTTTCACGTTTATATAAAGGTGAAAAAAAACGGAAATTTCACAACATTGTTCTTTCACTTGTAAGAATACACATTTAAGTGCGGTCAAGTAATAATAATATCTCTAAGAACATACATTTTTTAAAATCTTTTTATTCATTGATTTTGTCACTCACACAACATATGCAGTATATAGTATAGGCTATATAGTATATACTCAACAGATAGACCTACCGCAGCTCGTATGTAAACAAATCACACGCGGCTGGGTTGATGGCTGATTTAGTCACGTAGACAGATCCTGACAGCTTTTAGTTATAGCGTTCAGGAACCGTTAACTATGAACTAAATTAATATTGTTATTATTGGTAAAGGTACCGGATATTTTCTCACTGGTTCCCAACTCCCAACAGGCACAGTTGCACATGCACACACATCTGTGCAACTGTCATTGTACTGTAGGCTACGTCAGCGTTACATTATCTCATCCCATCTCACCAACAGTTTAATACTCGCACATCCAAACGTAGTCGGAAAAGGGCCTCGATCGTCTTCTTCTGATCGCATGAACGTTCCGAAACAACAGTCGCGGTCATAAATCAGCCGCTCACGAACCTTGCCATTGCCGCCAATTATCCACTTTGTATTGAAATGTCTTCTTTTACTTTTCTTTTTCTCATCCTCATCTTTTTGTTGGTTGTTTGTTTCAGCTGGCTTCTTTACCTCAGTAATGTGCCGCCACATTTTAGCTAAAGTCAAACGCAATGGCGGACTTAGTTGAAATGTAAAAATCCTAATGAATCACTCAATTCTCATTGGCTACCTGCCAATGTGGCAGGTAGATTGACAGTGTTACCCGCCAATAGGAAAATTCACCCGCATTTGGCAGGTGGTCGGGTGTTAATTTCAGGCCTTAATTTCAGATTAATCGCATCCAAAATAAAAGTCTGTGTTTACATAATATATTTGTGTGTGCTGTATATAATTATTTTGATATAAATACACACACATGCATGTATATATTTCAGAAAATGTGTTATTCATATGTAAAATATTTATATTTATATAATATAGATTATGCATTTATATATACAGAATTTAAGCGCAAATAATTCTTAAATATATACATGCATGCATAGGTAATATATTGTAATATATACAAAATAATTATATATAGCACACACAAATATATTATGTAAACACAGACTTTTATTTCGGATGCGATTAATCGCAATTAATTTTTGCACAGCCCTAATATATATATATATTCCCCACTAGTGGATAAGTTGTCAGTAGAATCCTGCTATTTATTTGACACTGACTTTAAAATTGGACAACATATCTGTATTAAAATGTACTATTGGATATATAGCCACCATGAAATAAAAAAAAAAATAAATTTTTTAAATATATTGTATTATAAATTATTTTTCAGTGCACATTATTTTTGTTTTTCAATGAATGTACCCCGTTTCTTCAAATCAAAAATCATACAATGTGTCGTTTGGTTTCACATTAGGTTTATACTAGCTAATACTAAACCACTATTGAAAATAAACATTTTTGGATTATGTAGGCTATGTTTGTGATATAACAGACAACAGATTTAAAATGCATTTTTATGAGTCAGCTTAATTATATTCGATTAAAACATGATCCTAAAGAAGTGATTTTTCAGCAGGTCGGATCATAATTAACCTGCAGTGATCCAGAATTAATTACTGTCACCTGATGAACAATTAACTTCCTCTTTAAACGTTCACAAGGCGTAAATACACTCTTTCTCTTTTTATGCTGTCTTATAAGCAGATTATTTCTGTTGAGGATATAAAACGCATTACATCACTTTACATTAAACTAATACACGTTTACTGCGTTTTAGCTTTTTGTGTCAAAATGAGCAAACCCGAGAAACCTTTATCCACGCTTTGGGGTAAGATTTTACGATTTATAGGCTACTCTTGAAGTAAAACATATCAAACTTACTAACATTGGAAGGTTAATCGATCTACGATACTTTGTTTTAGGTTGTGAACTCAATGAATCTAATAAAGAAGAGTCGTTTAAGACGGATGATACGATCCATCAACACCAGCTGGCACTGAGAACGGTTGGTTCAGTTAACGTTATGGTCGAAGTAAACTTGACGTCTTCTATAATGGTAGCCATTAACTCGTTAATATTTACTCTGAAGATGTGTTTGGGTCACACCGCCAAAGATGAGTTTAATATTGTCGAGTTGGTCACTGGTGAGGCCAACAACGGCGCGAAAGCTGTTCCCATCGCAACACTACATGCTAAATCCATGCCTACGGTAAGCTAATATTTTATTTGCATATGGCATAATATGAATACATTACACAGACAGGAGTATAGTCTTATTTTTCAAAAGAGACTCGGTCACTTTATATGATGAACACATTGAATTTAGGCTTTGTTCACATAAACATTCATCAACTCACATTATTTGTGGAACATGCTTGAGCTTACATTTACACTTGATTGGAGAACAAATGAGGATCATTCTTGAAGTTGTCACACAGCACGTTTGAGCTTCTGCAAGAACCAATGAGGTTTGTTCACGTGCGTCAAGCAGGTTCGGTTGAGCTTATGTTTAGATGTGAATAAAAGCTAAATTAAATCTCTTCACCCTTTAAAGCTTATTTTGAACTAACACAGTCTCATCCCAAATCGTCATATAACTGACGTTTTGGGACGTCTTTTGACCATACGTCAATATTCGTCTTTTTAGGGCCCCCTTAAACGTCGGTAGATGAGGTTATGGGATCCTAACTCTACCCCATACCTAAACTTAACCCTAAACCTAACCCGTCACCTAACTGACGTTAAAGGTAAAGCGTCAGTTGTATGACGGCCCGGGATCGCCATCTACCGACGTTTAAGGGGGCCCTAAAAAGACGAATATTGACGTATGGTCAAAAGACGTCCCAAAACGTCAGTTATATGACGATTTGGGATGAGACCGGGTTGTTTGAACATGTGTATACATTACCCTCACATGTTACTTCCGTAAGTCAGTGTTCCTCATGAGATTTCATTCTTCATAAGGTCAACCTGTCTGGCTTGGAACTTCATCCACCTGTGACCTTTCGCCTGAAGCATGGCTCTGGGCCGGTGTATGTCGGAGCAGAACATGTGGCCCGTGAGTGGCCACTTCAGCTCTTTTAACTGCTACTTTCTTTAGTTAAACTACCATTTTAAGTCCTATATCAATCTCCTCCAGTGGAGGAGTATTCTGATGAAGAGCTGGACGAAGAGATGGTGGAGGAGGAGGAGGAAGAAGAGGAAGATATTGAAGAATCGCCGGTTAAGAAAGTCTCAAAAAATGGTGCTGGCAAAGTAAGGCATCGTCTCATAGCTCACAAATTAATGAAATTAAATTATGCCGATTCTCACTGCTCCCTTTTATTTTTAAAGAGAAAGAAGCCAGAAAAGGAAGAGGAGTAAGTTAAATCTGACATTTGAGTTCATTTTGTTTTCTGCAAAACAAACTAATCAAATGTTTCCTAAATGCAGGGAAGCCTCAGATGGTGACAACCCACCTAAAAAGGTGCCCTTTTTTCTTATGTTGTCTTTTATCTGAAGTGCGAGAGTATAACATTCATTTTTGTTTCCTTCAGGGTAAAGGAAGGGGGCGGAAGCCACAATCTGCGAAGGTGTGACGAGGCAAGGACCTGCAGATGACTGTACTAGTTAGATCATGCAGTGACTCAGGCATTGATCATGTTCTCTTATTGCAGATGTGGATGGGAAGTTCTGCGTTCCCAGAAAGCCGCTGCTGGACATTTGAGTTGGGAGCTCAAATTTCTCACCATGGTCCCAATGTAGTTATTCTTCATATCAATAAAACTGTTGACAAAAGTATGACTGGGTTGGTGTAAATCTGTCTGCAGCTGTTAAAGGGATTGGAAATTTTACCACTCCCCAAGAGTTAAACAGTTGAGTTTTACCGTTTTTGAATCCAGTCAGCCGATTTTCTGATATTTAGAAGAATATCAGTAACCGGACAGTTTCTGGTCTCATTGACTACCATAGTAGGAAAAAAAATCTACTATGGAAGTCAATGAGACCAGAAACTGTCTGGTTACTGATTCTTCTAAATATCAGAAAATCGGCTTAATATATTTGAAAACGGTACAACCCAACTGTTTAACTCTGGGGGAGTGGTAAAATGAACCTATTTCCAAAAAAAGTGGAGTATCCCTTTAATGCAACCGAATCTCCAATTAAGAGATTTTAGTAAAAATCTGGGCAATAGAAGAAAATTGGGTCAGTCTGTAAACATTAAAATACTCATGCCACAAAACATACAGTATGCATGGCAAACATTATTTTTACCATGAAAATTGCTGTAACCAAATTACTGTACTTGCTGCAAAAACTTTATTTCTCTGTCGTATGCAATGGATCTTGGTGGCTCTGAGATGTTGTTCCTCAACTTCCTTTGGATAAAAGTATCTACTAAATGTGGAAAAAAACCTTCATTGCCATGACAAATGACTTAAGTTCTAACTATGACTCTAATTAAAATAAGCATCCCCTCCCAAAATAAGCATTTAAACCCCTACCAAATTGGCCACATTTACTTTTGTTGTTATTGCCTAACTGTAACCTTGGTATCAAAGAGTTTAGATTATGGTAATTATTAACATATGATGCATTTTTCTCTATCCAAGCAACTTGGTGGATTTCTAGAGCACAGGTGTTTATTGGCTTCGAAAACCTCCTCTAAACTATCTTCTTCCCACCCGTTCCTTCCTAGGCAAATAAGTTAATGATTCAATTGGAGAAAAAAGGCCAGTCTCAATTATTTTGGACATTGTCTGCTTTGTAAAACTGCTCAATTTCAGCTGTTTTCCTCTGTGAATGTGATGCTGCTCTCCTTTGAAAGGTCAGGAGCAAATACCAATGATTCCGCTTGACGTTTTTATTTACATCTGTTGGAGTTCAACAAATTTGCACTGACTGCTGAGAGAGAAAGACAGCGCTCGCTGGTCAAGATTCATTTACCTGACCTGAAGCCCTCACGGGTATCAGCATGGCTCACATAAAGGGCATGTTTACAGGGAGAATTTTAGGAATTAAATATGTTCGCTTTAACATCTTTATTTATGTGTACAAACAGTGCTCAAAATAAATCCTCAGTGTATTTGTGCTTCCAGTTAAATGCATTCTGGACAGGGGTGATTCACACAATCTATCCTGTTAGGAGAGAAAAAAAAAATAGTGACTAAATGATTCAACTCCTTTCATAATTAATTATACTTATTTTTAAGCTGTCATTTAAAGGGGTCACACACTCTTTTTATAATGCCCAAAAAATTATTTTCCACTCAAACAATGTTTTTTGCAGCTGTGCCTTAAAGGGATACTCCACTTTTTTTTGGAAATAGGCTCATTTTACAACTCCCCCAGAGTTAAACAGTTGAGCTTTATCGTTTTCGAATCCATTCAGCCGATTATCTGATATTTAGAAGAATATCAGTAACCAGACAGTTTCTGGTCTCATTGACTTCCATAGTAGGAAAAAAAAAAATATTATGGAAGTCAATGGGTCCAGAAACTGTCTGGTTTCTGAAATTCTTCTAAATATCAAAAAATCGGCTCAATAGATTCGAAAACGGTAAAACTCAACTGTTTAGCTCTGGGGGAGTTGTAAAATGAGCCTATTTCCAAAAAAAGTGGAGTATCCCTTTAAAGTCTTTCATACATGTAAACATACACTTTGCATATGAAATTAGCAATAGCCTGCATTACATTGTGATAGGATCACAAAACAATCCAGGCCCAACAATCCATGTTTAGTTCTCGCAATAAAGAAAAGACTCCCAGGAATATCCTCTAAATATTCCTCTAGACTCATTTGTTAACCGACAGACATGCAACATTAACACGAATCCAAGGTTTCTAACAATACTGACAATAGTTCTCAAAGTTAAAGTATGTTTCAGTACAAACTGCCTCAAAATATCAAGGGAATTTCGGTTCCTCATCATATGACCCCCTTAAATGTAAAGCAGGCCAGTGCAGTTTTAAGCTTAACCTTGTTGAGTCTTCTAGTCGACTTCTGCTTTTTTGAGGTACTTCTTCATCACAGAGTTGACATCCTCGCTGCCCTCAGCTTCCAGCCTCTCTCCTTGAGGCCCGCGGCGCTTCTGAGATCCACCAGAACTTGAAGAGTCCGAGTCCGACTCCCTACGTGAGGCTCTGGACGGTGGCAACTCCCCAAAGTGCACGCTGAGGGCTCGTCTCTGGCCCGTTCTGGAGCCGCTAGACGCCAGACTGCTGGTGGACTGCGCTCGTCGGATTGCTGGGAGAATGTCTGAGCTGGTGTCCCCCGCATCGACTCCGGCCCTCTCCTGATTTCCCATGAGCCTGCGATTCTGGAACACAAGGGGTTCTGCTCCAAAATGCGACTCTCCGGTTTCGGCCACCAAGCCACCAAGTAGACGATGGCGGATTGGTTGATAGGAGCCAAGAGGAGGCATGGCTTTTGAGCTGGGCTCCTCTTCCCCTTCCTCAGGGATGGCGAGGTTGGACAAGTGGCGGCGGGAACTTGAGGTGGAGGTCACGGAGGCGAGGGAGTCACAGGAGCTGAAGCGGTTCATCTTTCCTGTGGTGGTCGTGGTGGTGGAGGACGTTGGGCTTGCCTCGGATAGGGAGCGGAGGCTGAAGGCACGGGGCAAGTGGGGACTAGGAGGTTTCAGTATGCCGGGTCGAGGCAGGTCCTCCAGGCCTTCCTCTGCTTCTAGCGACAGCGCTGAGGCCCTGCGGCGTAGGGTGGAGGCCCCTGTCGTCTGATAGATGGGAAGGGACGCTGTGCTACCCTCGCCTGCCTCGGATCCTTTTTCCCACCCAGCGCGCTTCTTCCTCAGACCCTCCAGAAGCTCAGATAGGGCCGTGGACGATGACGCTCTGCCAAGACCTCCAGAACTTTCTTTGACATCTTCGTCATCCATGTCTTGCGTGCAAGATCTATCGTGTGAAATAAAAGACAATAACAATACATATAGATCTAAGGTTACGTCTTTTTTATTTCTTACTCTCATGTGTAAATGAGGTTAATTCATATGTAAGGGTTTACACATTTGGTTTTTTTTTGCTTTCATGGAACACAAAAGGAGATGTTTTGTGGTATCTGAAAAAACATCTTTACAGTCATAGGCTACACTCGTTCGTTAAGGCAGACAAAATTGGAAACACTTTTGCAAAGTCAGAAGTATAGATTTTCCAGAGTCTGTAATGGTCTTCTAGGAAACAAGGCCTTGTTCACGAAGACCATCAGAATGAGCAACTAAACAATAGATTTTAAAGTTTTTGAAGCTGAAATGCAGCGTTTAGTTGCACATATGTTTTTAATGCAGACTTTTGCACCATTATGTGCTTAAACTTTTATGCCGATGTTGCAGACTGATCTCATGAAATGGTGTTTGCATGACACGCCAATTCGTATTTCCATTTTTGGCGTGCTATCAACACGCATAATCACTTTTCAGCGTGTTTATGAACGCCGTTGACTTAACAGTACATTACTGTATATATAAATATATGACCTACCCCAATCCCGTCCCTAAACCTACCCGTCACTGGGGTTAACACCATTTATGAGTGTTCCCCTACCATCCTAGGAAAAAAAATATCGCTCCCCAGATGTTGATCTACATTTTGCTTCGTTTCGCTCGGACATTTAACGGCGTGTACATACACGCGGAATCACTCGGACATTTAACGGCGTAGCCGTACACATAGATGCGGATACACGCGGATAGCTCAAAATGCGTATAGATAACACGCCACTTGACTTGAAAGTGGCGTGCATGTTTACTCAAAAGTCATGATGTCATGTTGGATCTTGAATGAATGACGTATGGTTGCCTTTAAAAGGTGGTAATGTTGCTAAACGTCGACATTAAATCTCATCATGGTGAACAGGTATACTCATCTACTCACTAATCTGCTGCCTTGCGTTTATAAGCAAAAGCTGCGTTTCCATCAAAATTACCTGGAATAATTTGTCCCAGGAATTTTTTCCCCCAGACCTGTTGCTGACTGCGTATCCATTGCGGTCTAAAGTACCATAAAGATTAGGCAAATTAGTCTGGTGATAGGTATGCGGGCGATTTTCCAGTTCCTGGTGGGTTTTGTATTCGACATAAAAGCTTAATAATGTCTGAACCTTGTGGTTGATCCATTGGTCTTTTTTATTAATTTTTATACTTTAATGTTGATTAGAGTAGCAAACAACTCTTACAGCAGGCACCGCAACAAAGTTTTAAAAATGGTGGTTGAAATAAAATCCTGCGTGGACTCAACTAATCATCATGTTCAGCGGCCATGTCCCACTCCCGAAAGTTTCCTGAACTTTGAAAAAGTAACTACCTGATGAGCAAGGACTTTCTAAGGGGGAAGTTTTTTCCCGGAACTTCATTAAGACCTTGGTTTCTGCCGTCGAAACACACAGTACCACTACCGAACTAAAGTCCTTAGTTCCTGGGAAAAGTTCCTGCGGTGGAAACTATATAGTCTAAATGTAGATTTTTACTTCTACCGATTGTATTTAGGCTTCAAAATTCATTGTGATAATTTGTGAAGAATTTTATGATGAACAAAATGTCTCTGAATCATAAACTTTTCTTGGAGATTATTTTCTGCTATAATCCAAAGGCCAATGGAAAAATAATCCTATAGGGTATTATCACGCTTCCGGGTTTCATGGCCGGGATTTGTCAACTTTGTGCATGTCCACTTCCGTTCTGTTCCACTTTGTAAATCTAACCAACAACGCCAACCCTACGTAAGTTTTCATGGATTCCCGACTGAATTGAGTACAAGGAAGAAGTGGATTAAAACTTTAAAATAAAACA